TATCTCCCCTTTTGCATTCCTGATTTTACTGATTTGGGTTTTTTCTCTCCTCATTTTAGTCAGGTTTGCCAGGGGTCTGTCAATCTTATTTATTTTTTCAAAGAACCAACTTTTTGTTTCATTGATTCTTTGTATGGTTTTTTTGTTTGTTTGTTTGTTTCTATTTCAGTGATTTCAGCCCTTATTTTTTATTATTTCTCTCCTTCTGTTTGTTTTGGGATTTGCTTGTTCTTTTTCTAGGAGTTTGAATGTAGCATTAGGTCATTGGTTTGAGATCTTTCTGTCCTTTTAATATATGTACTCATGACTATAAACTTTCCTCACAGGACTGCCTTTGCTGTGTCCCATAGGTTCTGGTAGATCATGTTTTCATTTTCATTAACTTCCAAGAATCCTTTAAATTCCTCTTTTATTTCATCAATGACCCTTGATCATTGAGCATTGTATTGTTCAGCTTCCAACTATTTGCATGTTTTTTACTATTGTTTTTGTTGTTGAGTTCTAGTTTTAATGCATTGTGATCATATAGAATGCATGATATTATTTCTGTTTTCTTATATTTGCTGAGGCTTGCTATGTGCCCTAAGATATGATCAGTTTTGGAGAAGGTTCCATGGGCTGCTGAGAAGAATGTATATTGTGCTGAAGTTGGATGAAATATTCTGTAGACATCAACTAGGTCCATTTGATCTATGGTGTGATTACAGCTAGGATTTCTTTATTAATTTTTTGTTTGGATGACCTATCTATTGGTGATGGGGGGTATTAAAGTCTCCCACTACCACTGTGTTGGACTTTATATATGTTTTTAGGTCCTTCAGAGTATGTTTGATGAAATTGGGTACATTGACTTCGGGTGCATATAGGTTGATAATTATTATTTCCTTTTGGTGTATTTCCCCTTTTATTAGTATGAAATGTCCTTCTTTATCTCATTTGATCAATGTAGGTTTGAAGCCTACTTTGTCCAAGATAAGTATTGCTACTCCTGCCTGTTTTCAGGGGCCATTGGCTTGGTAAATCTTCTTCCAGCCTTTTACCCTAAGCCAGTGCTTGTTTCTGTTGATGAGATGGGTCTCCTGTAAACAACAGATTGTTGGATCTTCCTTTTTAATCCAGTTTGCCAAACAGTGTCTTTTGACGGGGGAATTAAGTCCATTAACATTCAGTGTTAGTATTGATAGGTATGTGGTGATTCCTGTCATTTAGTTGTCTTTGTTGTTTAAGGGTTTGTGTGTGCATCTAGATCAGTGTTACTCTCTACTTTCTTGCCTTTTCTTCTTCTGTGGCTTGGTACTACCTGTCTTTTCTTGGTTTTGTATGATTTAATTTTCTGCATGCAGGATTCTTTGAAGAATCTTTTATAGTGGTGGCTTGTTTAGCTTCTGCTTATCATAGAAGACTTTTATTGCTCCATCTATTTTGAATGATAGCTTTGCTGGGTAGAGTATCCTAGGGTTGAAGTTATTTTCATTCAGTGCCCGGAATACTGAGAAATCTGCTGTGATTTCTTGCAGGATTTCTTCTTTCAGAGTGTTCTTGTGGGCTTTGTTGGGTTCCTTGGGATAGTCTATCTTTGTTTTGTTGGGGTGTGGAGCTGGGTATCCATTTTCTTCATTTCTCCCTGAATCCTGTCCTACTTTATTTTGGTGGGGAGAATGGTTTCCATCCCTTTTTTGTCTTCCCATTGTTCCACTTGGTGCTATTTCTGTCCCTGTTCTGTTGGTCTGCACCTCCCAAGCAGGTTTGGAGCTGGTGTCTGGTGGCACAGGAGCCCTCCTGGTTTCTCAGTGTAACATGGTGTGGAGAATCTGTGTGTGGGCTGGGGTTTCAGGTGTCAGAATTTTGGTTCTTCTTGATGGTTTTTTCTGCCAAATGTGGCTCCAGCGTCTCAGCAAGATTTTCAATTTATGGAGTTCATGCTGTCTGCTTCCTCCCTCTAGTCGCCATCTTGGATCTCTGTCCCTATCACACTTTGACAGTACTTGGTATAGGTAAATGTTACAGCTCTTGCAATCTAGGGTTCAGGACCCTTGACAGCCCTGGTAGCAAGCTCTACAGCTTCTACTGCTGGCTCATATAGAATCCTCAAGGTGTCTATGGAGTGTTCAAAAACAGCTGCTGCTGGTGTGAGTGCAGTCTTGCTGGCTGCTTGGCTTATAGTCCTTTGCTCAAGGCAGCCAGGGTTCCAGGGAAGGGTCTGACAGCTGTCAAATAGGGAATTAAATCTCCCAGGCCCCAACATTCAACATATTCAAAGGGAAAAAATAAGCAATGTAAGGGGTGCTTATAACAAAGGCTTATTTGTTCAGTGCTTCAGCAGTATTTAACAGTGCTTAACTCCTGCCCCAGGGAGTAGTAAGTCTCTACCATCTGTTTGAAAATTACAGAAAGCCAGAATCTCTCTGCGACACTGGATGCCCTCCTCCCACAACCAGATCAATCAGAGCCTCATATGTATCCCACTGCAACCAGAGGCCCAGTCATCTCATGTCCCCAATCCCAAAGTCAGAGGTTAGGTTGGGGCTTTCCACTTCCCATTCCTACTTCCTGCCCATGATTAGTAGAGTGGATCTTGTGGAATTGTTGGCCCAAGATGATCATCTCAGGACATCTCCAGGCTTCTCCTGCTGACCTCCACATCCTCACCTGTGCCAGCAGTGAAGCTCTGCTCCTCCTCTGGCTTTACTTCATGGCCTCCTTCATGGATTTTTCCTCAGTCTAACCCCAAGTTCTGTCCCACCTACTCCCCAGACCAGCTCTGAGATCCCAGGTTCATTGACCATGACCCAGATTCCCCTCCAGACCCAAATACCCAGTATCCTGTTGACATCTCCATGGAGGTATCCAGACAGTGTTGAATTCAGCAGGCCCAGGACTAGACACTTACTCAGTGGTCCCTTGTTTCTGTCAGAAGTAAAGGTGAGCATTGTGTTAGCTGCACAAAACTCTCAAGCTGGACTTTAGAGCAAGAAAGCAATGTGATGGCCCTAGCCATGGAGCGAGACATCCTGCCCTGCATGCCTCATATTAGGGCTGTGGAGAGAGAGACAGGTCCCTTCCTACCAGCTGATTCTTAACTTTTCAGAGAAGAGAACCTTGTTTACCCAGCCAGACCATAAATTTCCTGATAATAAGGAATGATTGAAATTCACCCATGGGTGCTCAACACCTGAGCTTTGGGGCATTCTGTAGACAGACCTCTTTAAGTTGTACTCATCCCTGATCCCATCAGTAGATGAAAGAAGTTTTGGTAGGGAGGAACCACCTTGCAAATGAGTCTTAAAGACACCCTGTGGGGCAGAGCAGCATCTTTCAGGAACTGGTAATTCAGGCATGAGGACCTGACCCTAGGAGCCTCAGGCTGGTGAGAAGAGCAGTGAAACAAATGGATGACTGGTGCTGCCTACAAAGAAGAGCTCAAGAACCACATTCAGATATTGCATGTAGAGGGTAATGGAGCTATTGGAGAACCCAGCATAAGTAAAGGACATACCAAGACCAAGATGAGGAGTCATTGAAGGCTGATGTGAGGCTGTAGAGGAGAAGTCAGCTCAAGCTGCCCACTGGGGATAACCACTGGGAGGATGAGGGGTCTGGGCCCAAAGTCTGGGACAATTCTTGTCCTTTAGCCACTGAGTGACTATTGGTGCACTTTGCTAGATAGTGAGCAAGAAGCAGAAGACATTTGTGAAATTTCCCAAATAGGCCCTTGTGGAGTTGCCTTGTCAGCAGGACTGAGGAGAACACATTTGTGTAGTTACATGCAAACAGTAAACAGTGCACATGCCTCTGAGCCTTTGCCATCCCAACAAAGCTCACATTACTGTTTGCCTCCTACCCCCAGGCCCTTCACAACACAAGCGCTTCTGAGTCACAGGAACCTCTCCAGTTGAGATACTTAAGGCACCATGCTGGATTCCTGGAGGCCCTTGCTCTATGTTGATAGTCCCAATGCCCATTCTCTGTACCTTGTGGTGCTAACATGAGTGTGTGCTCAGTCAGGGAAGATTGTTCTATGAGCAACAGAGACCATGAGCTGGGCAGAGCAGGCAGCAGTGGTATGGGATGTTGACTGACTGCAGTGGAAAAGCCACAGACCAGCTGTAACTCATCACAGAAGTCAAAGTAAAGCGGCAAAGCTAGAGTTTGGGAGAGCCTGATCTAGAATTTTCAGGGCATCCACAGGTTCTTCCAAACTGATCAGAGGCGAAAACTGATCAGAGGCGATGGGTGGGGTGCAAAAGAATCTGGGACAGTAGAACTTACAGCTCTGAAGTAATCACAGACTCATGGGAAGTTGCTGTAAAGAATAGTTAGATTTACATAATGCTTATGTTCATGGTTTGGAAACACGGAGAGTGGTTCTTAGGACAGGAATAATGTTCTACACTGCTAATTTGCTGAGCAGCCTCTTTGGGCCAGTGATCCCAACTAGACTGATGATACTCCACCAGACAGCAGGAAGAAAAGTGTAGAACATGTATTTACATTTGCTTATATATCATCCTTTTGTGATTTTTCAATTCTGTGTTTGTATTTTATAATATATGTGATGCAGTAGTACATGCATATAATTTTTAAATAGCTATGCAAAATCTGGGGTGCATTCTTGACAACTGTTTCACAGGTTACAGGGAAGGGTCCTGGAGTGATATTTCTAGCTAATCCTGAATCATCTTTATGTACAATCAAGTTTTAGAAGCATTCTAAGAGCTCAAGGGGCAATTCTCACCCTCACTCTTCCATTTACTTTGCCTTACTTTTCTTCATAGAAGTGATCACTTGCTGACAAGTTACATATTTTTCTAGTTTTTCCCTTCTCCATATACCTGCAGGAATGCAAACACACCATCCAGTGACTAGATGAGTCCACAGAAGAGAAATGTGGCACTCTCTGGTCCTAAGCAAGAATTATCACAGTCGTTTTCAAAGCAGAACTATTGATAACATGTGTTCTTGTGGCATGCGCTGATACATGTTTTCTGTTTTATTAACAGCGGTTCAGCATTGAGTCGTGCTTGCTTCTGCTATGCACTGATTTGTTCTGTCCCAGTTGCCACTTACATCATTCTGGTGACATCCCTGCGCTATCACTTATTCATATGGAGTGTATTTTCTCCAAAACTTCTCTATGAGGGAATGCATCTGCTCATCACGGCTGCCCTCTGTGTGCTATTCACTGCCACGGACCAGACAACCCACACGAAGTCACGGGTGAAGATGGACACTGAAAGCTGATATGTCCCTGTTTGCATAATGGATTTGAGTATTGAAATGTACATCTGTTTAAAAAAATCATTCAGGGGTGTGGGGGAAGGGAAACCTATGAAGTTGATGAGTAGCATCAGCTGCATTTGGATTTAGATTAAATAGTAAGTAGTTTAATAAAAGATCACCTAAAATACACTATGTTATATTTTCCCTATTGACAATCACTCCAGAAACTTCTGAACTTTTAATTTCTCTGGGTAAATTAAAAATATGTATGTTTAAATTGATGGAAAAAAGGTTCTTGCCTTTGTTCTCATGTATGTGAATCTCAGAGAGCCCAGGAGCCCTTAGCAGGCGCTCTATCACTTGAACCACACCTCAGCCCAGATGTTCTGTTTTAATACGACACGGAAACAACAAATGGTAGTTTTGGTTTTTTTTTTGAGATAGTGTTGCTATGTTGCCCCAGCTGGCTTTAAACTCATGATCGTCTTACCTCAGTCTCACTGGTGCTGGGATTACAAATATGCACCACCATGCCTGACTTCAAATGGTAGTTCTTACAGATTAGTTGGACAAAAAGAAATGAGTGTATATAAAACTAGTGATATGAGTCAGAACCTTCTTATTCACAATTTAAACACATTTGGGACATGCCATATCTCAAGCCTGTCCCTGAGCTAGTAGAATTGTACGGTTTGATAATGCATAATGACTGCCTAAAGGATCATCATTGGGGGAAGCTAGGTGAAGGGGACATAAAATTCACTGTGCTATTTTTGCAATTTCTTGTGAGTCTTAAATTATTTTAAAATAAAAGCTATTAAAAAAAAACAAGTTAGTCGTAATGTGGAATCTGAATCTACCTGTGAACTTCTGTACCCGTTTGCATTGAAACCCATTCATTGCTCTGCCTTGAACCTTAAGGGTCTTTACACAGATGTGACTGTTAGGCTAGAGGACAGTGTGCTGAGCTCCAAAATTTCACACATGAAATATCAAAGTTTATGATTGTCCGCACATCCTGAGTGACTTTTTTCCCTCGAATTGACAGTCTTGGTTTATTTCTAAGGAAATGTCTGCCAAATACCCAAATCAGAATATCTAATGTGCATGACAGACTTGGTTCAGCCCAACTCCCGCTGAGTCCTGCACATCGTAGATACACATTCGTGGCTTTAGGTGCAGCTGTATGTGCACTTCCCATTTCCTAGGCTTGTAAAAGATGTGCTCACACATCAAGATTCAGTAAAGTCAGTCACTGTCACTATTTCCACAAACCTGAACAAGTCATTGCCATTATGTGGCTGCCAGTGACATCATCATCATCCCAGGTAGGCAAGGCCAGGGATTGGTCCACCCATTTGCCCACTGTTGGAATTCATTTTTCTGGTTTGGGAAAATGACGTAATCTGAAGAAATTAGAAAATGGGCCTCACACATTTAAAGTCTCAGCATCCAGAAGCAATAATCAATAGCATTTAGTGAATATAAATGAGGATGTCTCTGTAGAGAAGAATCTGTAGACAGATGCATGCCTGCACATTACACTAGATACTGCTGCTTTTAATCCAGAGTAGCAATGTTTTTCTGAGCTTAACAGAAGGAAATTAAAGTGAAGCCAAAGGAAACACTGAACTTCAGATAAGTGTGTTTTCTTTAGTTTTGGGGGTTATTTTGTTTTGTTTTGTTTTGTTTGGCTGTACTGGACTGGGGGTTGAACTCAGAGCCTTGCACTTGCCACTTGAGTCGTGCCCCCAGCCCTTTTTGCATAGGTTATTTTTTTTAAATAATGTCGTACTTATGCCCAGACTGACCTGGGCTACCATCTTCCTATTTGTGCTTCCCAGAGTAGCCGGGATGATGGGCACACACCACTGTCCCCAGCCATTGATTAAGATGGGGGGTCTCATGAGTTTTTTGCCTGAGCAGGCCTCAAAATGCAATATTCCTGACCTTTGTCTCCCTAATACCTAGGGTTTGGCTTGAGCCACCACTCCTGCCTTCCAATAAATGTGTTTTCATTACAAGGAAAAGATTATTGAGACTGGAGTAACAACTAATCTCTAAAAATTACCTGCTTTCCTATTTCAGTCCCTGTCTCCTGATTCCCAGCTATAAAAGAGGACAGAGTTCTCATATATTCTCCCTTCTGTCCCACTCACTATATTTGACATGTATGTTTTATTCTGTAGTTTATGCAGCTACTCAGTTTTGGTTTCACAAGAAATGGCCCATTACTTGCACATGGTCCTTCCCCACGGCTGCATTCCTTAAGTTCCTTATGGATGGATTTTATGGCCTAGTAATTTTTTTCAAAAAGGTTCAAGGATGCTGAGTCCCTGAATGTTTATCCCATGTCCTATGGCCCAGAATCTGCTAGGTCAGTAGTTCTTCCCTCAGCATGTGGAGAAACTGAGCTCTAGGCTGCCTGTAGCTGCAGGTGACCCAAAGCCAGACTGGTTTTCTCTCCTAAAGTGCAACTTGCTGTTTGTTCCTGGTTCGTTATTTCTTTTTTTTTCTTTTTCTTTCTCCTTCCCTCACTCCCTTTCTTTCCTCTTTTCTTCCTTTCTTCTCATTTTCTCCCTTTGTCTTTCTGTGTTTTTACTTTTCCTTTTCATTGGCTTCTAGGTAGTGATTTTCCTTTCACTTCAAAAATTTTCTAGGAGAATGTTTCTTGATGTATAAAAGTATAATATTTAATTTAAAAACATATAAGTTTTTTTATATCTTTCTAAAATTATTCTTTTTTTTCTAGTCATAGGACATCTCCCACTTAGCATACAGAAAATCCATGGTCTTATTCTAAACTTCTAGCTACTGATCTATTTCCCACTAACGTAAGTGGAAAATAGTGATGTATTAAACGTCATATCAAAGTCTCCCACCATTTTCCTAAAATGTAAACAGTGAAATATCCACATGTAAGTAGTAGGTTATATTGTGTTAATACAAACTGCTTAAAATGTCACATCCTGGTCACCAAATAATGGGTGTGGCTTGAATAGCTGTTTTCCCATGCCCACCTCATGGCTCTGCTGCTCCTTCCACAGGATCAAGACTTAAGTCTGCTGCTAATTGACATGGGAGGCAACAATTTTTTCCCACAAGTTGTTTTGTTGAAGATGGTATTTAATGAGTTTTAGGGATAAAAATTCTAAAGAAAGGCTACAAAATGTGTTGAGAGATATATGTAGCCTATGGATTTGGATATTAAAAACAAAGGCATTATACTAAGAAAATAACTATGAGACAGTCTTAGAGGATATAACTATAGTTTTTTTTTAAATTGTACCTTTGAATTTTCAAGCATATACACAGTAAATAAAATAGTATACTGAGTCCCTTCATACCCATTACTCACCTTGCTCATTCTCTATTGACTTGACCTCACCACTACCCAATTATTATTTCTTTTACAGTTTTTGCTTTTGAGGCACAATTTACATACATCAAAATGCAAAAGGTATCCATATACAATTCTAACAAATAGGTATATCCATATAACATACTCTGTCAGGATGTGGAATGTTCTTCCAGAAAACTCCACTGTGGCCTTTCCAGAGATAAATACTTTTAATCAGGAGTCTTGCTTATTGCAGAAATTCAGTCACACAGATTTCTACAGACTGTGTATGCCACTTTGCTCTGACTTCCCGCTCACCACAATGTCTTCGGGTTCCTCTATGTCCAGTGTGTCAAATCTCATCTCTTAATAGCTGGGTAGGGTTCCACTGTGTGACCATACCACAGCTTGTTTATCCATTCTCACATTGATGGGCCCTGTGATTTCTTCCAGTTTGGGTCTGTAGGAATAAAGCTGCAATGAATGTTCTCGTACATGTCTTTTTGTGGATGTTTTTATATCTCAGATTAATACCTGGACCTAGGGTTGCTAGGTCTTAAGATAAAAGTATTCTTAAATTCTAAAAAGCTCCCAGATATTTTCCCAGTGTTTGTACCATTTTACAGTCATTAGCAGTGTGTAAGAGTCTGGGTGCTTTATATCCCAGCCAGCACTTTGTGCCTGGTTTTATATATTCTGAAGTGTACCTAATGGAATCTCATGGCTTCAGTCTGCATTTCCCTAATGACTGGCATTGAGACTTTTCTGTGGGTTTATTTCTCTATGAAGTGTCTGTTCACTCTATTGACCATTTTTTATTGGCCCATTTATCTAACCTTTATTGAATTGCAAGAGTTACTAAAATATATTCAGGATCCAGATTATCAGGGACTTTTTGTGACTACTTTCAGCTATGACTTGTTTATTCATTTTTAATGGTGTCTTTTTGACAAGTTTTTTTTATTTAGGTGAAATCTTCTGCATAGTTTCTAAGAAATCTTTGCTCAGATCATAAAGATATTGTCCTGTGTTTTTTCTAAAAGTTTTAATTTCAGCTTTTGTGTTCATTTATTATCAATCTCAAATTGTTCTGTTGTGTGGATAATGCAGGAATTGAGGTTCTTTCTATCCCTTTCTTCCCCCAACCCCTTTAATGTAGATGCCCACCTATTTCAACACTATTTATTAAAGATACTTTCCCTTCCTCATTACATTACTTTGGCTTCTTTGTCAAAAAAAAAAAAGTTGATGGAATAAGTGTGGAGTCTGATCCCAGACTCTAGTCTGTTCCAAGGGTCTCCTTGGCTTTTTCTTATACCAGGAACAGGCTGTTAGGATTGGTCAAACTTTGTATTAAATCTTGAAGTTAGATGGTACACATCTTGCAGTTTCATTCTTTTTTCAAGATTATTTTAGTATTCTAAGTCCTTTGAATTTCCACATAAATTTTATAATCAGCTTATCAATTTCTGTTTTTTAATTTGCTGGATTATGACTGGAATTGCATTAGATCCATAGATAAACTTGGAAGGAGACAAATGCTCACCAATATGGTCTTCCACACTGTGAGCAGGGACTCCCTCTAGTTACACAGGCCTTCTACAACTTTCAGTAATGTTCATAGTTTCTAGCTCAAAGACATGCAATTCCTATGTTAAATTTATTCCCAGAATTTTTCTTGGTTTGGTATGTTGTAAATGCATGTTTTACTTTCACTTTCCAATAGTTTATTTGTAGAATATAAGAACACAATTGATTTTTGTATGTATTGATTGTGTATCCTGGAACCTTGGTAAACTCATTTGTAATTTCACTAATGGCTGTGATGATTCCTTAGGATTTTCCACATAAGCAGTCATGTCATCTATGAATAAGAACAGTGTCACTCCTTCCTTTGCCCTCTTTATGCCTCTTAGTTATTTTTCTGTGTTGGATAACCCTCCATTACAATGTTGAGTAGAAGTGTAGAGAACACATATTCTTGCCTTGCTTTCCTTCTTGGGACAAATGTGCTTAGTATCCATTACTGAGTGGCCTATTTTTCCACATTTGCCTTTATCAGAGAAAGATCCTTTCCATCCTAGTGTGCCAAGTGTTGTTATTATTTTTATCATTAGTCAGTATCAGATTTTGTCAAATGATTTTTCCACACCTATTAAGCTATATGATTATATGATATTCCTTCTTTATTTTTAATGTTAAACCAAAACTCCTAAAACAAAGGATCTCTATTGATAACCGGGCACAGTGTCATGCACCTATGACCACAAGCTATGCAGAAGGCTAAGATTGACAGGATGACAGTTCCAGGCCAGTCTGAGCAAAAAACTTTTCAAGATCCCATTTCAACAGAAAAAAAGGTGGTGCGCACCTGTCATCCCAGCAACAGATGGAAGCATAAAGTAGGAGATTCTTGATCCAGGGTTGGCTGGGCAAAAAGTGAGGCCCTGTCTCAAAA